GAAAAGTTGCGTGATGATCATTCTCTCCACAGTCATTTGGTTTTGGCTACCCCCTGTACCACTCCGGCTATGAGACCTTCGATCTCCAAGATCGCTTCATCGACCCTGACTGGACGGTGCACCAGTCGGTGGGGCGGCTGTGGGGGGAGATGGCGGTCACCCTGGCGGACGCCCTGGTACTGCCGCTGGACGTGCGGGACTACGCGGCGGCTCTGCAGAAGATGACGGACGAGCTTCGAGACGAGCACGGCGCCAGGCTGGCGGCGCAAAACATCGGCTTAGGTTAGTCTTAGCCTGAATGTCAGACTTATATGCCTGCATCCTAGATGAGACTAATCCTTTCGGAAATACTTTGGAAGAAACATATGCCCCTACCCCGAGTTAGCCAGCTTCAAACTGTGGGGGCTGTGGTAAAATTTCCTTGGGGACATGTTGGCCCTGGAGCCGAGGGGCTAGCCTAAATACTGGCCCTGGCACCAGTCTGGCACCCAGGCTAGCACTGAAGCCGAGGAGCTAGCCTGTATACTGGCCCTGGCAACAGTCTGGCACCCAGGCTAGCCCTGGAGCCGAGGAGATGGTCTGTGTATGCCCCTTAAACAATCTAGAATCTTGGCTAGTTAGTCTGAGTCTCACGCAAACGCCAAAGGATATGGCTTCTCTCTAACTGAGTCACAGCACAGAAGACAGTCCTTATTATTCTTCATGGGCAGTTTGATTTTGCCGGTGGAATCATAGAAGACCATAAGTTGTATTCGCAATGACCAAAACTTGAGCCATGTTCACACATATATTTGTCGTGCTGAAAGGTCAAAAGCATCCTGCTCTTTCGGCTGACACAAGAGATCAAAACTATATATCATTATATATAGGCAATAGGCCCTTTGTTGTTAGATACTTTTTTATATTTTATTACTGCTTTCATTATACCTATTTATACCTATAACTATGTTATCATAGTTATTTAATTTGTTTTTGTTTTATTACTTACCTTTTAGAATGTTAACTTAGTGATTACTTGTATTTGTTATTACTTGTATTTTAGATTTATGTGTTTTTATCGGGACAGGGGACCTTGAAAAGGAATCTGCCTGTTCCCCCTGTCCTGTCCTTGTGACAAAGTTGACATAAATAAAAATAAAAAAAAAGTGTGCTCGGATCCTTTTTATCTGCTTTAGTTTACCTTTTCCAACCTTTCCCTCCAAAATGAAGAAGTCTATACTTGTTTCCATACAGAGCACCTTGAGTCAGCCATAGCAAAGTTCACCAGGGCTACAACAACTTTCCGCCAGAGCCTTGGAGATGTGGACAAATTAAAGTGAGTAGAGACCTATGAAGAGTCATAACTTAACTCTGTGGCTTTTTCATAATTGCTATCTCAAAACGTGGTGTAAACTAAAGAAAAACTGTAGTAAAAAGTTGAACTTTATTCCAACACACAGTTAACAGAGAGACAAAATTTTCAGCGACCACTGTCGTCTTCATCAGGATAATTGATTAATGACCAATCACTTCACAACGTGATCTCGCGAGAGTTACGGTTTACAAACACGTGTCCTTATTCACACGAGACTTTACTGACACGAGACGTAAGCAACTGATCAAAAGTGCCAGGGAGTTTATATCGTCCACCATCTCTATTAAGTGAAGGCTGAAGTGCTCTGATATATATGGCATCCTTTGTAAACCGTAGCTCTAACGAGATCACGTTGTAAAGTGATTGGTCATTAACTATCCTGATGAAGGCGACAGTGGTCGCGGAAAATTTGATCTCTCTGTGAACTGTTTGTTGGAATAAAGTTCAACTTTTTACTATGATTACTACCAACACAGATGGACTTTCAAGATAATCTAAAGAAAAAAACGTGTAACACAAATACCCCGCACTATTTTCAGTCCCCTTGCAGTCCGTGCCGTGAACGATCGCCTGATGAAGCTGGAAGGTGCCTTCATCGACCCTCTGGGCCTGCCTGATAGACCTTGGTTCAGGTAATTATGCCTTAGTCATGCCTTCAAGTAGAGTTATTGAAACTTTATTTGCGCTTATTGCAAAATCATGACCGAAGTATGATAATCATTGCAATACAGTAACAGGAGACAGGTATCAACTGTCTGGAAAAATTTCTACTTCTACTACTACGCTAGCTATTATGGGGTTCGACTTCTTCTTTGAAGGCAGTAGATAATGAATAGGCAGGCATAATGAGTGGGTTTTGTGATCTTAGTAGAAACGTAGTCTTTTGGTGATCTTCTAAATGGCGAAAGAATGGAGAGATTGTTGTAACTGTCTGAAATAATATGTTACTTTCGGTCTCATAGTGAGGACACTGGCTAACAAAATTCTGTGACTCTATTGGTGAATGATTGGAATTTTATACCTCGTGACATGTGTAAATTACTTATCAATATAATAAAGGTTATCACCACTATGCATGTATTATGTTAATGTAAGGTTATTTGCATAATTAATGACGACATGTTGAAATGAAGTATGACAAAGCAAGCCCATATTTAATGGAGGTATGAGATCTCGGAACTCTTGTTCTTTGGTGTTTACCTTGCAGACACGTGGTGTTTGCCCCCAGCAGTGTGAACACCTACGCGGGACAGTCCTTCCCGGGCCTGGCCGACGCCCTGCTCGACATCGACAACGTTAACCCGGCCGACCAGGCGACGCGGTGGGAGCTCGTGAGGAAGCAGCTCGCCGTCACCACGTTCACTGTAGAATCTGCGGCCAACACGCTGGTCAACAACCTGTTCTAGTTGTTTTAAGTTGTTCCAACACACAAGAGAAGTTCTCTCACTGAAGCTTTCGACCAGTCACTCTGGTCTTCCTCTGTAGACTGCCCCAAGTGTGTGTGTGTGTGTGTGTGTGTGTGTGTGTGTGTGTGCGAGGGAGAGAGAGAGAGTATGTGTGTGTGTGTGTGTGTGTGTGTGTGTGTGTGTGTGTGTGTGTGTGTGTGCGTGTGTG